ATTATCTGTCTCTATATCTATCTATCTGCAATTGTTATCTCTCTTTATTTGCCGGGCTTATATACTAAAAAAGAGAGCGCCTAGAATGCACTCGGGCTTTCATGATCCTTCTAGAAACTCATCACGTGTTACCAGCGTCAAATGACTTCAGCTGTCGTAACAATATAATGAAGAACATTGGTGTTTTCACAGAAAATTAATGATGACTTAAAGAACTTTGAAGTTTTTCTAAAACTACAAATGCAATAAAAAACAAGGAAGGTTTCGTTAACACTGAGTGTTTGTGGTAGTTCGAGTTACTTGAAAATATCTAAGTAACAATAGTTATTGGTTAACTCTAGTCCATTTAATAGAACACTTGCACGAAATTGAAGTAGCACAATTGATTTAATTGATTTAATTTTCAGAAAAACAAGTATATTGAAAGTAATTGGCCTCAAGATAAGTTGGAACATTCCGTTAACTTTAGTCGAAATCGATAAAATGAGTTTTGAAACTATGTAGACCTCACTACACAAAACATTGTATAAAGTAATACTTATTTCATTCTATATAGCAGGAATAACAGTGATATTTTTATTTTACATTTAATGTTAATTTAAATGAAAACACAGACGATGTGCACGATATACTCAGCTCAACATTTATTAGTTAAACTGTTCTTGAAAATTAGTAATTTATTCTAGCCAACTTCTTGAAAAATGAGCTGTAATGAAATGTAAAACTCAAAAAAGTTAGGATGTTCTTGATGAAGATTTATAAAATGCTTTTTTCATTGAAATTGATAACTTTTAAATTATACAAAGAGGGCGTTATAAAATGCAAAGAAACAATAGTTACAAGTTGAACACATGATATATGGTAAATTGCAGATTTATAATTGTCATGAGTCATATCATGCGTTTATAATTTTATGTAAAAATTATATGCATTTTTACTGTTTCTGCTACATACAACCCTTTAACCTTGATGAAGAACAGTCCACTTTTTAAAGCGCTCAGGTTATGCATTCGGTTTCTTTTGGATGTTGTGTATGGCTAATAGTAATAATAAATAATATTAGCTAATCTTTTTATGTGGTTGTGATCCCGGGAATGAACCAAATAGCACAACACAAGCAAACTAGCATTAATTCTAGTACTATTAGAAATAAAAAAGTATATTTCTATATTTGTTTTGGGGCATGTCAAGCTGCCTCGTAGAGCTAGATTGTTATTCACTTACTGTTAATAAATTACATTGTAATTTGTACTTTTTGTAGCACATTTGAGTTTCATCAATTACAAAAGGACAAATTAATACAAGTTAGCTGAGCAGATGGTCATTTTCTTTTTTCATCTAATATAAAGTTTAAACTGAAAGCTCTCATGTTTATTCTATTTCTAAATGTCTTAAATTTCACATATACGTTTTCTTATAAAATGTAATAAATATCCGTGAAAATATGCATGACCATTAAAACGTACAAAGATTAAAACTGAAAGGTTTATTGGGATTGTTTTTGAAACAGGGCTTTTCCAGAGATTTAGTTTTATATGCATGATAATGATTAGAAGTTACCATGCTTGCCAAACAAGGATTTAAAAAGCTTATTCTTGTTATTGGCAATGCCAAAGAAGAAAATGAATCAGTACAATTTTTATTGTAATAGCAACATACTAAATTATAATTAAAGTAGTTGTGATAAACTATTAACTGTTAAAAGAATGTTAGACTTTCCAGTTATATTAGGTAAAACTGTAAAAGTTTCCCAGATTTCTATGCTAAATGATTTCCATACTTAAATATCTTTCAAAAATGTATAATTCAGAGAAAATTGTTAGATTATCTTTTGTGTCCCATAACCAAAGTTTTTCTTAATATATTTTTTGAACTATAAACATGTGCAAGGGTAGATAACATAAAATAGAATTGCACACCGTAATTCTTTTATTTCCATGAATAAGTGCAATTTTCACTCAAGTTATGCAAACAAGTTCTGCTGTTCACTCTTCAGTGAAATTTTTACATATGTATATACATGTTTTTAAATCAGTTGTTTAACGACATGTCTCTGATTAAGTTTACAATCTTAATTTAGTAGTCTGTCAGCACCAATGTAGAAATTTCACTCCATTCCCCCATGTTGATAACTTTGTCAATTCCCTTTTAATTTTTTTATATTGAATCTTCAGTTTTGTTTATGGTATAGCACTCTTTGATAATTTTGGAATTGAAGCATTGTTTGATTTGGTGAAATTAAAAGTATCCATTACTTAGAAGGCTTGCCTCTGGATTATGCTTTTCTATACCTCTCAACTTTTGTTCATTACTTATGTTAATGATATAGATACTTGTTTGAGAAGTTAATTTAATGGTGATGATGCTAAGGCTGAAACTTTATGATAATAAAACTGGTGTATTTATGTATTTTACATTCACAAAAAAGAAACCTATCATTCTATAGGTATTTTAAGAACTTGTAGCAATTTGCCACAATTTAATTCTTCATATTGTTAGCCAACACTGGGCAGCTTGTACATTTGTACTTTTTTTGTGAGTGTAAAACACTTACTACTTCTTTAATTATGAATAGTTTGATTTTCGATACTTCACTAGTATAAAGGCTTGGTCTGATATTTCATTGGTGGTAGTGTCCAGGGTCACTGATGAGGAGTGGAATTCTCAGAAACTAGTCTGGCTCAGAGACACACACCCCTATGAAAGAATATACCATTCCAAGCTTTTACTTGTTGTTAAACAAATGTTTAAACAACTCTACTTATTCACTTTATGATAATGTTTTTTATTGAAAAACAAATGAACAGCATTAGTGACTATCTAGAATGTAAAATGTAGTTTTAATATTGATAAGTATAATTTACTTAGGGTTTGAAAATTTGGAAAGGACATTCAGTGTGTGAGGAGCATTTGTATTAAGTGTGGAAAAACCTTTAAAAAGGAGAATTTAGATATGATTATTGTTAAAAGTATCAAATTTCAACTGAATATTTGTCTGTGATGAAAAGAGGTGATAAGATTACGAGAGGCATTTGCACATATAAGAGTAAGAGGCAGAGTACCTGTTTCAAAAATTTCAAAAGTATGAAAAATATAAGACTTGGTATGGTTTTTCTCCTGGAACTAAAAAAAACTAGAGATGACTTTGATAATATAACTATGGGTTGTACTTTTCATGTAATAGGTTGAAAATTCAAACATATTAGTGGCTATAAGTTATACATTTAGAAGTCTAAATTCAATCCTTTTTTTTTTTTTGACAAGTGTATTCCTCTGTTGAAATTGTAAAATTATAGAGTGGTTTGTTTGATAATGTAACATACACAATTAGTATAAACTTTTGTTGCAGAGATATGAAAGGTTATATTTAGTTTGGTATTAAGATTTTTTTAAGGGATGACTGAAGAGGTGAATTCAATTGGCCAAATAGAATTCCATCATCTTGGTTATTCTTATGTTAGATTGTTCTAGTGTTACTTTGAGATCTTACTAGGAAAAACTGCTGTACATGAATGGTACTAGACTTAAGACTATTGTCTTAAAGTTGTATTGAATCAGATTCTATATTTCATGTACCATAAACATCTTATTTGGATTTCATTTGTTTGTTTTTATTATTATTTTGATTAGGAGTGATTTTTCCTATGTCTTTAAAACAGGAAGTGGGCCTTGTAAGAAGAATTGCATGTGACCATTTATAAAGAAGACTATGTCAAAAAACATCTCTCCAATCTAACTATTGCAAAAAATAAATATGAACATATTTTATTAACCTTTTGGATTGTTATAAAAAATATGAACTAGAAATGCTTTTGGAAAAACTTCTTTCGCAGTCTTTCACTTCAGCATTTAATTTATTTAATCATCAACAACTCATAAAACCTTTATTTTGGGGTTGCAGTAAAAAATTTTCAGCACCCTTACTTGTTGTGCCAATACGTGGATCTTTTTGGGAGCGTGATATAAAAGGTCCACGTTATCGAAAAAAAACTGAGCGAAATTACTTAGATGACATGAAATATGGAATTAAAGAACTTAAAAATGAAGTTCAACTGTGGAAAGAAGAAATGTCTGAGAAGTTTCAATATGACCCAAAGGTTTACATGCCCGACGATTCTGAGATTGTATGGACATTTGATACAAAGGTACCAAAAAAAGTTGTTTTTTCATACCATAATGTTTTTCTTACCATAATTCGTTAGTAACTTCATAGTAGTGGTGGTGGTGTGTAATATTTATTTTTTGTAATTAGGTATAGATAAAGTAGTAGAACCCAAACATAATTTTAATATAATAATACATTTAATGGATTTATATGAAAAGTAAAATTAATCTACTACTCTTGATAGCCCGGACATATAGAATGCAAATAATGATTCTTGAATGTTTTTGTTCATTTTCTCCTATTAGTATTGCACATTTAAGCATGGTAAGTTGAATGTGTAACAAAGAAATACATAGTTATATATTTAAGCTTAAAAAAAGTAAGTAGTGTGAATAGGTATGGGTTAGTTTCATACCCTTCAATAAAGTAAATAATTTGATTTACATGTTCAACCATAACCAGCCACATAGCTTATATACAATATTAGTGATCAATGTAGTAAAACACAGAGGATTAGTTTCATACACTTCCATATTTTAAAAGTAAATAATTTGATCTGCATATTCAACTGTAACCAGCCATTTAGTTTATATCATACAATATTTGTGACCAGTGAATATAAAAATAGAGTTATGAGGATGAGACCCCTACATTTACTTTCTTTACTGTGGAAATATAATTAGATTTCAAATAATCTGAAGCTTTGAAAATGTGTTACTAAGTGTCTGTTTTTTTCTTATATATATTTAATTACTTACATGTTTATGATAAGTAAAAAAAATTCAAAACTATAGTACCACTAATTGTGGTCCATTTACTGTCTTTGAAACTAGAAAGTTTAAAATTATGATGAATAATTGAGAAGTGGCATGCCTTACCTTGTAAGCTGCTAAAAACTTCAATACCTGAAGTAAGATGGCTTTTGGGTTTAAAAGTTTGAAGTTTTAATTCATGTTGGTTGTATTACATGATTATGTCTCATTTATACCAGACTTGTAGCACCATCTGATAATAACCACAATTTATAGTAACTAATCTTTATTGAAAACTTTTCCCCCATTTTATGCCACAGGAAAAATTGAATCAGTGGGTGTGCACATCAGACAGTGATAATAAAGATGGCTTTAGTCACTGTGACTTAACTCTCAGTAAGAACAAGAAAGGATTATTCAGTGGTTTCTTAGACTGCAGAGTTCCCAAAGATGGCCAGATAAAAGAATCAGGATACTGTAATATTCGGTGTCTGAGAGCCAGGGTAAGCACTTTTGTTTTGTAGGAAATACATTATTGTAAAGAGGAAAACAAATTGTGTGTGTGTGTGTGTATATATATATATTGCAAATAGCACTCTTCCTTTAAGCATTTATGAGAAGTTAAATATTTCTAACCATTTTTACTTATCCACTCGTAAGGTATTTGTTGTTAAAACAAATAATTTGAATACTAAGACTTTTTAGCTTTAGCTTGATTGGTTTTATAGTTATAATTCCAGATACTGTATTGTGAGAACAAGCAAGGTGATGTACGCTACTTGATTAATTGAAATCACTTTTATTCTCAAGACAACAGACATCAAAATAATGTGTGACTATATTAGGCAGGAATCTATACATAACTGAATATATTAGAAGTAATTAAAAAATAAATGTTTTCCTGTAATCAAAATTTAAATAGGAAACAGTTTGTAGAATTTAATTTAAAACATTTTATCCTCTCTCTTTTTTTCAGAAATCTTTCAAGAGAGATTCTTTCTTTGATTGGCAAATGTTTACCCATCTTATACTTAGGATCCGAGGTGATGGAAGGTCATACATGCTTAACCTCACTACTACTGGATACTTTGATGTTATGTGGCATGACATATACAACTACATACTTTTCACACGTGGTGGGCCTTACTGGCAAGTTGCAAAGGTAGTCACTTCAGTTTAAAATTTTAGTTCTGATAATTTATTATTATCAAAGACATGAATTAGAAATATAAGTAGCTTATTAATTTTTTTTAATGTGGTGTTAATTTTGATAACGTACCCAATTTGGTCTATTTGTAAAAACTGGTGATCACAAGAAATATATGTACTTTCTCACGAATAATTTAAAAGTCATTGATCTAAATATTCACTCATGATTTTAAGATGTTTTCCATGAAAACTGTATTATGTAATTCTTCAGAATTGAACTCTGTAAAAACTAACCATTGTAATGGTAGGACATTTATTACGTTGTACTATAAGTATATACACGTTTTTTTATTTCATGAAAATAAGTATGTTTATAATTATTGTTACAGCCTAAGGTTAATTTTTCCTTTTTTTCTAATTTTGTAAAGGCAGTTTTATTTGAAATTCTTTATCCCAGTTTTCATTGTCTGTGACACTTAGTAGGTATGATATTTATTTGCTTACACTGTATCAAGTTTACAAGTTGTATTTTAAAGGAAGCTATATTTCTTGGTAGTGTCTCATGCTACTATAATTCATCCCAAACTCACTCCTTTAGGGATACATCTTGTAAAATAGCATAATATATTAGAGCTTTCTCAACCAAACTTGCACAACTCTGAACAACATATTACCAGGATCTTTTAAGTTATTAAAAGATGTATAAAAGGGTGATCATTGTAATGATTATGTCAAAATTTTAAAGGAATATGCACAATACCAGATATACAGTTTTGTGTACTTAGACTTCATAATCGTACTTTGTAGGTAGGGTTGCCATCCGTTTTAGGTAAGAAAAGAACATGATTTGTTTTTTTAAACTCTAGTTTCTAACTTGATAAAAATGCTGAAAATTATCAAACACCAACAAAATTGTTCCTTATTTTAGAGCTATTTAGGTGACAATCCTACTTGTAGAAATAGTAGTGAAACAAAAGTTAAAATGTCAGGGTGCTAAAATATTAGACTAGATAATCTAACAACTTTAGCACCTTAGATCGAGCCAAGAAACTACGCTGATACCAATGTTTGCTTTGAAATTTGTTTCTAGATTCCATTTTCCAAGTTTTTTCTCTCAAGTAAAGGAAGGATTCAGGATAAACAAGACCCAATCCCCCTGGATAAAATTACTAATATTGGAATTACTTGTGCTGGGAAGACTCCTGGTCCATTCCAACTAGAGATAGATTATATTGGAGTACATTTTGATGGAAATCATACAGAAGAATTTGCCTATGAAATGTATAATGTTCCAAGCTTCATTGTTGGCGTGTGAAGAAAAGCACATTGATAAATGTTTGAATAACTTAATGGTTTAATTTTGTAACAAATTGTTCAGAATAAATATTTGCTTTAACTGTTAAGTTCACTTTGGCTATTTCTTAATTTTTTGAACATTTAGACTGAAATAAGTAGTAAATGAGTTTGGTAACAATACTGTATGGAGCTTCATGTTCCCCTCACACTTTGGTAGCTTTTATTTGTTTGTATGAAAGTAGATGATATTAGTACATAATGTTAGTGATGTTATTTTACTGACATATTTCTTTTCTATAAAGTATGATAAAAAAGTGGTTTCTAAACCAATGTGATACCAACAGTAGTAAATAAATATACAATGTTCTGTTATTAAATAATGTGTTTTCTTTTTCATATTTGTAGTATAAAATCTTCCACAAAATATTTAGATTTAGTGAAAGGTAATAATAAAGTAATTACTTTATGGAAGTGTGGTCTACTGTTAAAAACTTTCACTGAGCACAATGATTACACAACTTATTAAAAAAAAAGAAGTTAAACTATTTGTATGGCTCGAGTAACACTAACAAACTGACATCAGTTCATTTATAAAGTTTATTTTCACACCTGTAGTCCATTGCAGGTTTAAAATAAAGTTGCCAATCACCATTTATTTTCAATTAAGACCCAAACATTCATTAAAGGAATATAGACTATTCAAACATGGAGATAAAAAAATTCATAAACAATACTCTTTACATCTATTTCCAATCTTTTACTTGAATTATCGGTCACTTTTCTAACATTTCAGTCTAAGAACAGGAAATTAAGGAACAAAATTATAAAATTAAAAGTGTATAATGAATTGACTTTACAAAAACACTCCTTCTTACTGAAAGGTTTTATTAGAGTATGTAGTTAAATATTTCTACTACATAAATCTCCTACAGTGTAATATTTGTACCTGTAACTGAATACCTTTCCAATAAAATATTTCCAAACTACTGTGTTTCAGCAAAAATCATCATTAATAAATCATTTAAAACCATTTGTTCTTCTACTAATGATTGTGAAGTGCTTTGTTAATGAAATTAATAACATATAGTCTTAACTTTACTGATGGTCTGTTTGCACAGTTTGTTAACATTTACTGTGATATAAACACATGACTAAACATTATTGTATATTCCAATTTTCATAGTAATATTCACATTGGCAAGATTAAGATATGCAGGATCATTAATTAAGAATAATAATAAAATGTGTTACTTTCAAAATATAATACTCATCCTCGTAAAGAAAATTTCAAGTAGTTGGACATTTTCCACCTGAATGGTCAGGTAAAGTCCCCAAGGTTCAGACATAGCTAGCCCTAGGTTAGTACAGCTGACCATAGTGAAACTAGTTAATATCACCTGGCACCTATTATTAACCAAACATTAAACTAGTTAATGGCACCTGCCACCTATTCTTAACCAAACAGAAAGACTGACTGTCCTTTTTATAATGTGTCCATAGCTGAGACTCCCCCTACACAGAGTGACACTGTAGCAACTCTAAAACAATATAAATTACAATAACATTTTTTTAGTATTTGGTAAATAACCTGATTTTTATTGCATTGCATTTAAAACCACAGACAAAATATGTTTAAAGCTTATCTAGTTAGAAAAATAATAGAATAAAGAATGCACTTGTTTTAAACTTATTCAAAAGAAACATGTTGCTTCATTTTCTTTTCTATTACTGAGCAGGTCTTCAAATCTTAATTCCTGAAGCTGCCAAATGACAGATTATGTTAAGAAAACATAGGTAAGAGGGAGGAAGCATTTTACTGTCTGATCCTATCTTTATCAGGTGATTCTTTTAAAACAAATTTAAAGGAACTGTGTATAATGACAAACTGTACTTTAAGATATAAAGAAACTGGGACATTTAGTAGTTTTACTGGGATATGTGGTAACCCTAAATGTGATGTGTGTGCTTAGTGGCATATTATGGTTCAAACTATGGACCTTCCCTAAGCTACACCCAACCATTTCACAAGACCTTATAAAGTTAATGATTTGGTTATATGTTTCATGGTCTGCAGGTGAGATATCACCCCAATTTTTTCAAAATAATGTTTTAGAATGAAAATCAATAGGTACACAACTAAGAGTTATGCAACAAACAATTAACCTAATTGAATAACTTCTTACAAAGAAAATAAATGTCTCTGGTAAACTTCGAAAACAATTATTAATAAAAAAATAAAACCTGAAGACATTTATTTTACATAGTTTTATATGCAATGGTTTGAATATATATTACTAATTGTATGGATCAATACATGCTTTATACATCTTATATACACTTTACATCAAGGTCTATAGGCTTCATAATTTAAAATATCAAATTTGATAAGTTGCATATTTCAAATTTATATTTTAAATACATACATAAATTGTAGTTTTTCATTAAAAATAAGCAACTTTAAATTTATTGTTTTTACATTAAAATTTACATAAATTATCACTGCTATGAGTCAAACACATTTATAGATAGAAAGGAATGTAAAGAACAGTCCTTTTTTCTGAACCAGAGAATTTTTGTTTCACTCAATTTCATATACTAAAGTATTTGTGGAATACAAATACCAAGTATTTCAAAGATTTTCAAGAAATACATTTTGTGTATAACATACGGTATAGAAAAATACAGCAAATTGAAGAAAGTCATAAAAAATTATGGACCCTAACTAGTGAGCCGCATCGCATTACCAAATAAGGAGGAGACAAGCTTGAAGCCCATCACACAAGTTAGCTTTTTTGCATTCCAAGTCTTGATCTTAGAGATACTGATTTTAACAGCTACAAATTCTAGTGCAAAACAGATGAGATACAACCACAATTGTTTAGATAAGCACATGACTATATGAAGCAATATCATAAAAAATGGTTAACAGGACTTCCATAAAACTAATGAATGGAGTAGTATTTGTGAATTGACTGAAGTTACACGTTTTGTCTTTATACACTCCGAGACGTTCATCTAGGGTTGTTTCCCCAAGGATATTAGATAATGGTCAACATTTAGTTCTGTAAGAACGAATTACAGTTTGATGGAAGATTCCAGTTGAACCAATCAACTTAGAAGAAGTACTATTAGAAGCAGATCTACTGGATTTTTTGAAACTAAAAACAACACTAATTTTAGTGTATATAATTCCTATGTTTCTGGCTCAAAACTTCACCTGTTCAAACTA